AGAGAGAGAGAGAGAGAGAGAGAGAGAGAGAGAGAGAGAGAGAGAGAGAGAGAGAGAGAGAGACGGGGTGGGGATGGGGTGCAGACGCACAAACACAAGCTCACCAGTGAGCTGGCTTCTGTACCCATCTGTTAGGGTCCGGTACTGGGACCTCGTGCTGCTCATCCCCAACGTGCTCTTCTTCATCTTCCTGCTCTGGAAGCTTCCGTTGGCTCGGGCCAAGATCTGCATCACCTCCAGCCCCATTTTTATCACCTTCTATATCCTGGTGAGTTCACTCCAATTGGTGACAGAAAACCCAGCTCCAACTGGCTTAAGCAAAAAAGGGAAGTATTAATTGTCTCTAATGAAAAAGCAGTTCTTCAGGTATGGCTAGATCCAGGATATTAACTGATGTCATCAGGATTCTGTCGCTTTCTGCATCTCTGTTCTCCTCTGGCCTTACCTCAGATGAGTTCTCCCTATATGGTGTCAGGGATCGCCAGGAGTAGCTTTGAGCTAACACACGGTCTCCATGCCAGTCCAGTGAAGAGCGTCTCATTCCTGACGGTGCCAGTATAGATCTGCACTTCCCTCTGATTCCCTTGGACTCTGTGGTCAGTCTTGAGCCAGTTACTGTGACTACCGTGTTTCCCCGAAAATGAGACTGGGTCTTATATTAATTTTTGCTCCAACAATCTACCTTTATTCATTTATTCATGTACGAAAACCTACATTTATTCAGTCATGTCTGGCTGACGATCTCAACTGGGGCTTATGTTTGGGGTAGGGCTTATATTACGAGCATCCTGAAAAATCATGCTGGGGCTTATTTTCCAGCTAGGTCTTATTTTGGGGGAAACACGGTAGCAGGGAAAGGGACACTTTGGAATTGGAAGTGGGGCCAGCTCAGCCAGACCAGAGGATGGTGGTCCCTAGAAGAAAATTACTAGACTCATTACTAAAAGGAAGAGGAATGGATGCTGGGTGGGGAGAAAATACCACTGAGCTTCCATCGCTCTGTCCATTTGTCTGTCCATCCACACATTCTGTGAGACCTCTTTGAAGCAGACTTCCTTCTTATTGGGAGGGCCTGCATTCTCCTCACTCTGTAGTCCTGGTGGGTGTTGCCTGGGAGAGGTAGCAGGGCTGTGGTTGAGAAGGTAGTTCCAGGTTCAGGCCCCAGATGCGGGCTGTCCAACTCCCTTCCTTCAGGGGTCAGGACCGACTGACCACAACCTTCCCCTCTCTGTGCCTCTCAGCTGCCACGACTAGAGAGCTGAGTGGCTCCCCAGTCTCCTCTTTGAGGCCTGGGTCAGTACTTCCCAGTCAGAGGAGTGTGCAGTGGGCAGGCAGAGAGGCAGGGGAGGTCGTGGGGAAACTTGGAGGCTGGTGGCGGAGACCCCAGGGGCTGCCAGCTGACTGGAGCCCTCCCCTGTGAGATGGTGGTGAGGAGGGGTGGGGATCAACGCCTGCTTTCTTCTCTGCCGTTTTCCACTGCCTCTCTGACCATTTACTTGTTTGTGTATTTATTCAACAGATATTAAGCACCTACTGTATGTCAAGCAGATGCCCTTTCTCGGGGCGGGAGGGGGGGGAGAAGGCAGGGAGAAGGGACCTAGGGCTAATGCCCAAGAACATGAGGTAGGGCTGAGGGGAGTCAGCACTGGCCCCGCCTGCTTTCTCTTGGGGACTTCATCCTGAAGAGGAGGCAGTGGCAAGAGTGTACTTGGGCAGACCACCTCTGAACCCCAGCTGTGCTGAATGAACTTGGGCCAGTGGCTCGACCTCTCTGCCTCGGTGCCTTCCTACATGACGTGTTGGATTTGCTTTAGCTTGTGGAGCTCCTATGAGCACAAGATGACAGCGAGCCTAGCTCCTGCCCCGTGGGGGCTTGGTACACAGTAGGCACATGGCCGTTTGTTGCTTCTGCCCCCTGCCCCCTGCCCTGCTGAGTGATGTTGTTCTCCTTAAGACTCGGATATAGATTTCATGGCACAGAGGACAGAGTGTGTATGAAACTGGGCTTTTTTGTTTGGATGTGTCAGAAAACCAAACTTAAACCCACAGAAGCTGGAAGGAATGTATTGATTGAGAAACTGACAAATCCCAGGGCTTTGGTTACGGCTGGATTCGGGTTCAGTGATGCTGTCTGGCACTGTCTCTCTCTGTCTCTCATCTTCACGTCTATACGATGGCCCTGTCTCTAGCAATTTTCACACTCATGGTAGCCAGGCAGCCCGAGCAGCTCCAGGCTTGCATCCCCTCAGCTTCCTCTCTCAGGGACTGCACCTGATGTCCTGGCTGTGACTCAACATCCTTGGGTCCAACCCCATTCCCAAACCAGGGGAATGGCATACTCGAATGGCCAGCCCTGGATCACAGGCCAGTTCCTGAAGCCAGGAGTGGTGGGGTCAGCAGCCCCCAACACATACATATACAACCAAGTGAAGGAGTAGGTGGGGAGAGGAGTGAGGCTGTTGCCAGAGGAAGGGGATGGATACTGGGCTAACAAAAGCTACAGACGCCGAGCACATGCACTTCTGCAAAACCTGCTGATGTGGCAACTTCCACAGGGTCTGTGATGCCTCTTCCCTGTGGCCTCCTTTGCCCCCAGCCCTCATGTCTCAGAATTAAAACCATTAATATGACAAGACTAACGGCAGATGTGGACCTAGCCCTTACTGGGTGCCAGGAACACGTCTACATTTATTTATCCATTTGGTCCCCCCAGATGCAGTACATGCTATTTTTATCTCAATTTCACAGATGAGGAAACTGAGGCATAGAGGTGCAGTTACTTGCCTGAAATCACAGAAGCAAAAAGCATAGAGCTGGGGTTTGAACTCAGGCAGTCTGGCTCTACCATGTCACCTTACTAACCATTCTGGGGCTGTCAGTATAGCTGGGATACTGAGGCCCAAAAGGGGAGGGCCAGGTTAGTGGAGGGTATCCCCGCCTCCCGACTTGTTTAATTTGGAATCCTTCCATTCTTGAGGAATCAGCTCCTGCAGATGTGGAATGTGGGCTTGCTGTCCCTGTAATTCCCAGAGGTTTTGATCCCCGACTCCACTAGACCCCCTTCTCGCCCACTAGGTGTTCGTGGTGGCGCTGGTGGGTATCGCCCGGGCCGTGGTGTCCATGACGGTCAGCACCTCAGATGCTGCAACTGTTGCTGATAAGGTGTGGCTGGGCCTGTCGACAGGGGGGTGCAGGGCACTGGGAAGAGGGGTGACTGGGCCCCCAGGCTGATACTCTGCCCACTCTGTGTCCAGATCCTGTGGGAGATTACACGCTTCTTCCTGTTGGCCATCGAGCTGAGTGTGGTTATCCTGGGCCTTGCCTTTGGTGCGTCTGCTGCTGGGCCAACACTCTTCCTGCCCCTCCCTGGCTGTGGGCCAACCCCACCATGGTCACCTGGGCTGGCCCCCCGCTAACTGACCAGCACGTTTCTTCCAGGTCACTTGGAGAGCAAGTCAAGCATCAAGCGAGTGCTGGCCATCACCACAGTGCTTTCCCTGGCCTACTCTGTAACTCAGGTAAGGGGGCAGTGGGTGGGGCAGGGTGGACCCAGGGGCTCACTGGAAGAGGCCTGCAGCCAGTGAGGGCAGTTATCTACCGCCTCCTGGTCCTGGATCAGGGTTTGAATGTTTGTCCGGCGCAGTGTTCTCAAACTTTAACTGTATTTAAGGAATCACCTGGGGTGTTTGTTAACGAGGTGGGTTCTGCCACCCCCCCATTCCCAGCCAGTAGGTCCGGGTGGGGGAGGGGAGAACGCCCAGAGCCTGCATTGTAATAGGCAGGCCAGGCAGGAGAATGCAGGTCTGCAGACCACAGTGAGAGTCCTGCATCCAGAGACCTCTTTCTTAGATTGGGACGGGGGCTGCCCCCTGCCCCATGCTGGGTCTATTCTGGGTGCTGGAGTTAGATGGGCAGAGTGTGGCTGCAGAGCAGGTTGGAGCAGGAACCTCTGAGGGCCAGGCCTGGGCTGGGTTGGGTGTTGTGGAGAGCTACCGGGGCTCAATCTGAGAAGGCCCCAGGGAGGGGGCTTTCCAGGTAGAAGGAACCTGTGAGCCCTCCCCTGCCTGCTCCTGCAGGGGACGCTGGAGATCTTGTACCCTGACACCCACCTCTCAGCTGAGGACTTCAACATCTATGGGCACGGGGGCCGCCAATTCTGGCTGGTCAGCTCCTGCTTCTTCTTCCTGGTGAGGTGGAGGGTGGGCCCTGCGCCTGGGTGCCCTGGAGGTGGCTGGGTGAGCCCGGGCCTGGATGCCTCGGTACCGGGTCTAGCTCTGGGCCTGATGCTCCTGGGCACCCTTCTCAGCCCCACTCTGTCTCTACAGGTGTACTCTCTGGTGGTGGTGCTCCCCAAGACCCCACTAAAGGAGCGCATCTCCCTGCCTTGTGAGCAGCTCTGGGACCTGGCTGGGCGCAGTGGGTGGGGCGGGTGGGGTTCTGTTTGGGCCACTGTGGCCTGGAGCTGGAGAGCCCTGGATGGGAGGGCGGGACGCCTCCTGGGGGGGGGCCCAAGGGGTCCCAGTGACACACTGGCGATGAAGGGTAGAGGAGAGGGCAGGACCTCATGCTCCCCAACCCCTAGCGCGGAGGAGCTTCTATGTGTACGCAGGCATTCTGGCGCTGCTCAACATGCTGCAGGGGCTGGGGAGCGCCCTGCTTTGCGCGGACATCATTGAGGGGCTCTGGTACGTAGGGATGGAGAGGGAGGGGGAAGCCCCGTCCCACGAGGCCCTCTCTGACCTGACCCCCTCCTGCAGTTGTGTGGACGCCACCACATTCCTCTACTTCAGCTTCTTCGCGCCTCTCATCTACGTGGCCTTTCTCCGGGGCTTCTTTGGGTGAGTCCTCCCGCAGGGGCTCGGAGGTGGTGGGCTGGGGCTAGTAGCGAAGCTCCGGAGGCTTCTCTGCTCACTACCCTAAGTTGGAGACCTGTGGGCGCCCCCGCGTGGCTGTCAGCGGGACCGCGCCTTGTGCTTCCTGCGCGTGCATAACGGCATGGTACAGCGTCCTCCTTACTCTGGGTGCAGATGCAGGCTTAGAGAGGAGCTAGAGGAGGCTGATGGAGTGTATACGAAAAGTTTAGACAATTAAATGCGCAAACTTTCCACCATTCATTTACACGGTGGAAAGTTCGCGAACTTAATTGTACCTTTTCGTATATGTACATACATATACACACGTACATATACACACACATATATATGCATATGTACACAGATATATACATATATGTGTGTGTATATATATATATATACACACACGTATACACATATATACGCATTATATATGCAGCACACATGTATGTATACACTTTCCCCACAGAAGAGGTAGTGGCTATGCACGTTTTTCTGCACTTGCTGTTTTTCGTTTAAAAATAGCTTAGTTCATACCTTCAGCATGCATTCACTGTGTCTTGTACTGCTGTAGCCACATACACGACTAGGAACAAAGTAGACACAAATGCACGTGCTCATGGAGTTTGCATTCTAGCTGGAGGTGACTGGGGAGAGGAGCAGGGTTGAGAGGAGTCCAGTGTGTATTTGAGCATGGGGTGGGGTGTACTTTTGTGCACATGTGTGTTTGTAGGTGTGTCAGGGAGACGGGATGCTAAAGACGTATATAATTGAGGGTTGACTGAAGTGTGGACTTTTTTCTCCAACCCCACCCTTCCCTACCTGCCAGGTCTGAGGGCGGGGTGAGGGATCTCCCGTATGGAAACATGGGTGAGGGCTTTAAAGGTGGAGTGACAGGGACTAGCTTGATCCCAGCCCAACACCGATCTGGCCTCAGGCTCCCGTTTTAAATTGAGTGTAGTGCTTTCTCCCTCAGAAAGTAATCCTGAGGACCGAGGATGGGGGAGCGCACAGGGTAGTGTAAAAGCTGCAGGGGTGGCGGTCACAGCCAATGCTTGCTGAGCACATTGAGTCAGATACTGTTTCAGGCTGTTTACCTGCTACGAAGAGCCTCTCAAGGATGAGGTTATTGTACCCATTTTGGGTGAGAAAGCAGGTACAGAAGCTCTACACAGCCAAGCTCACACACGGGATAAAGGAGACTGTGTTTTAGTCCTGTAGGACTCGGTAGTTCAAGCGTAGGGATCTCAGGGGTGGGTGTTAAGCAGCTGTTAGTGTGTTTCCTCCCAGTCTGATGGCCTCATTGCCCAGAGGGAGGGCCTTTCCAGACGCAGACAATGGGACTCCACAACCTCTGACCTTCCTACCAGCTCAGAGCCCAAGATCCTCTTCTCCTACAAATGCCAAGTGGATGAGACCGAGGAACCGGATATGCACCTGCCCCAGCCCTACGCTGTGGCCCGGCGTGAGGGCCCGGAGGCAGCAGGAGCTGCCAGTACACAGTTTGACTCGGCTGGCGGGGTGGCCTACCTGGATGATATCGCTTCCCTGCCCTGCCACACTGGAAGCATCAATAGCACGGACAGTGAGCGCTGGAAGGCTCTCAATGCCTGAATGTGGCTGCCCTGGCTGGAGGGCATGCTGGGGCCTATGGAGGACAGACTGGAGAGGAGGCCAGAGCACAGAGTTCCCAGGGGAGGAGGATGAAGTCACGGGACCTTGTGTGGACAGCAGTGCTGTGCAGGCTCTGTCCTGCTCTCTGGACCCTTAGTTGCCCTTGGTCACCTCCACTCTAGCTGAGGGCCACCTCCCTCTTCCACCTGCCCTTGCCCTGCTCAGTGACGTGGCCCAGACTGATCTCCCAGGGCCAGGCCTGGCTAGGCTGGTCGAGGTCACCTCCTTTCTTCAAAGGAGTAAGCATGGGTACCCAGGTCTTGTCTAGCCCCTTCCCTATAGCACTTTGGCTTCCTCAAAGCCCACTCTGGCAGGTGGGCTGAAGTGTATATATTTTCTTGACCTATTTTTTAATAAAAAGGAGAAGGAGCAGAAAGTGTCACTGTGGAGGTTCTACAGGAATACTGGAGCTGGTTTCTTTCAGGTGCCTGAGGGCTGGGGTGTTCAGAGGTCCTGGCAGGTTCCTCTGCATCCTGAACCCAGGGAGGCTCAACCAAGGAACACTGGCTACTGCACAGGCCCTGGCTGCGGGGAAGTGGAAAGAAATCATGGAGGAGACTGATGTGGATAAAACTGGTTTCTGTGAGCTATCGCCCCACCTTGTTGAAGAGGATGGGGGTTGGAATAAGCCCTGCAGGTCCTGTCCTTTCTCTGCTCCTGCTCTGTCAGCTTGAGCCGGCCACTTACCCTCCCACACCTCCAGTTTGACCATCTGTGAAATAGGAATAAGAAGGCCTGTCTTGCAAGGATTTTTGTAAGGACTAGAAAATAGTAAGCATGAATGGCTAGCATTTGGGAATGGAACAGTAATGATAACTTTATTTTTAGCCTCTAGAACAGTGCGTGGCACACAGTAGGCACTCAGAAGATGGGATGTTAGGGAATGATATTTCTAATAAGAATGGACGTGATGAGCTGAAAATGAGGAAAGTCAGAATAGAGCCCTGGGATGGGAAAAGGGAAATTAGGAAGGTTCCACATGTCCATATTGCCGCAGGTGTAGCTAATTTTGGCTTTGAGTGGCTTAGCAGCCAGAGGAAAAAGGGAGTTGCCAGTTATGTAATTCCCACTATCAGAGGGGAGGAGGTCTCAGCTGGGACTGTGAGGATGCTGACGATCGGGCCTGGTACCCGTCTCCGCTGCCGCCCACTTTCTTGGGAGGGCACCAACTTCAACACAACTCATGACTATGGAATTGATGTGCCAGGCTTCTCAGGATCCAGGTCCCAGGGGGCTGCCAGTGGCATGGGAATGGCAAATGCAGAGGAGCAGCCAGGCAGTTGGGCTTCCAGCCCAGGGGACCCCAGGGCTGCTGGGGGGTTCTGACAGGCTTCACGTGGCGTACTGCAGTGACCTCACAGCTTCCAAAGAATCCTGTTAGGCAGGAAAGGGAAGCCTGTAAGTCTTGAGGGTAAGGCTGGGTTTGATGGTCAAATTCAGAGCTGGGTTCAATATTGGTAGCCTTTGATGTGTACACAATCTAA